ACGTCTGCAATGGCACCCAGAGGGTCGAAGGCACCCAACACCGTGGTGCCGCACGTGGCACACACCAGGAACGGCTCCGCACCCTGCAGGACACCGGGATGGGACAGGGGGTGTCAGGATGGATGGGGTGGTGGATTTTGAGGTGGGGCAGGGGGTGTTGGAACAGCACAGGGGACATCAGGATGGGACAGGGGACGTTGGGATGGAGCAGGGGGACACCCTGGGCTGCCACCCCTTCACCTCGGCTTTGGCCTTCTGGATCTCCTTCTCCAGCTCCTCAGGGATCATCTTCCCCCTGCGGGATGGGAACAGACCCATGGTGGGAGCAGAGCCGGGGCAGTGGAGCCGCAGATCCACCGGGATCAGCCCGGCTCCCACCTCTCGTCGGTGGCCACCAGGCGCACGTTGTCAGTGCCGATGCCCAGGAACGCGGCTCCCTTCTGGATGGAGTAATGGCTCTGAGCAGGGAGAGGGGGGGTCAAATCCCTGTGGATGGTGGGACCCCCCCCGATGAAGACAATGGGGCACCCCTTGATGGGGATATCTGCCTCACACCCTACAGTGCTGATGTGGACCCCCAAATGGAGACAATGGAACACCCCCCAATGGGGATTCTCCATAGGCCCCCCCTGGGGATAATGGGACCCCCCCATGGGGACAATGGGGCGTCCCTCATGTGGATGATGGGAAACCCCCCAGATGGGGACAATCGGGATGATGGACACCCCCCAGATGGAGATGACCCCCCCCCGCCATGGGGCCAACGGGACGGTGGTGCCGCGGGTGCCCGCACGTCGCAGGAGGTGAAGAGCGCCAGGCGTGGCAGCGCCGTCATTCCAAGGCTCCGGCATTCCGGGAAGCGCTGGAACCGTGCCACGTTCATGGCGTACATGTTGCACATGGAGCCTCCTGCCAGCGGATGAGGACAGTGGTGTTACCCCAGGGGGGGCACCGGGACACCCCCCCTGTGTGGTGCTGGTGCCGGTACCAGGAGCGAAGATGCCGTCGCCGCTGCTCCAGCCCACGAGCTCCCGGAGCTTGGCCAGGACCACCCCCTCCATCAGCACGAAAACTGGGGCCACCTCGAACGTGTACCTGGGGGGGGCAAACACACCCCCTCCTAGGGAGACTCCCACTGAGGGGAACCCCCCCATTGGGGTGATAGAGGGTACCCTCCAGATGGGGAACCCCAACGATGGGGATGTGGTGACCCCATAGGGAAAGTGGGACCCACCCCGATGGGGATGTGGGGAACCCCTCTATGGCGATGATGCCCCCCCCCCATGGAGATGTGGGCACCCCCACAATGTGGACAATGGGGGATGTGTCCCCAATGAGCTTGAGGGCTCCCCCGCTCCCCGATGAGGATGTGGGGAAGCTGCCATGGAAATGATGGATATTCCCCCCCCCCCCCGATGGGGATGATGGAGATAATGGGTCGTCCCCCCCCATGGGGATGTGGGCACCCCCCCGATGTGGACAATGGGGCATGTATCCCCAGTGAGGTTGAGGGCCCCCCACCATGGGGATGATGGACTCCCCCCCGATGGGGATGTGAGGAACCCCCCATGGAAATGACATATATTCCCCCCCCAGATGGGGATGATGGAGACAATGGGGACCCCTCCATGGGGAGGATGAGGACCCCCCCAAGGGGATTTGGGGACCCCCCCATGAGGACAATGGGGCCCCCCCCGCACTGGCTGGTATTGAGCGCCTCGGTGAGCAGCCGCCCGGCCAATGCATGCGGGTCCAGCCCCGAGAACAGCTGATTGAAGAAGCGGGGGTGACCTGCGGGGGGGGCACCGTGACAGGAGGGACCCCCCCCGGGACCCCCCTTTACCCACGGACCCGCCCACTGACCCATGGACACCCCGTGTGACCCATGGAGCTGTGGGGAGTGGAAGCTGGAATGGGAGTGGCAGAGCTGAACCTGGAGCCATGGAGCTTGAACTGGGGCCAGATGGGGCTGCACTGGGAACACTGGGGCTGAACTGGGTGTACTGGGAGCACTGGGTTCCCACTGCGACCAGTTAAGGCTGCACTGGGAGCACTGAGTTCACGCTGGGAGCAGTCAAAGCTGCACTGAGCTCACACTGGGAGCATTGGCTTCACAATGAGAGCACTGAGTTCACACTGGGAGCAGTCAAGGCTGCACTGGTTTCACACTGGGAGTGCTGGGTTCACAGTGGGAGCACTGATTTCACACTGGGGGCACTCGAAGCTGCACTGAGCTCATACTGGGAGCACAGGGTTTGCAATGGGAGCACTGGGTTCACACTGGGAGCACTGGGGCTGCACTGGAAGTACAGTTTTCCCACTGTTTCCCCCCCATTTTCCTGCTGTTTCCCCCCCGTTTTCCCGCTCTTTTCCTACCGCTCTCCCGCTGTTTTCCCACCACTTTCCCACTGTTTCCCCCCGTTTTCCCGCTGTTTTCCCACCACTCTCCCACTGTTTTCCCACAGTTTTCCCCTTCCCGCTGTTCCCCCGTTTTCCCACTGTTTTCCCCCCATTTCCCCACTGTTTTCCCACTGTTTCCCCCCGTTTTCCCCCCAGTTTCCCCGCTGTTCCCCCCCGGCTCCAGGGGTCCGCACCGGTTTTGACGCTGAACCGCACCACATCCCGGCAGCGCTGCAGCAGCCGCTCCGGAGGTTCCCCGCCGCTCCGCAGCTCCAGGTCCAGCAGCTCCCGCAGCTCCGGCGGCTCCCGCCACTCGCACACCTGCGGGACACCGCAATTCCCGAGCCCGGGAAGGCCGCGGGGCCCGGCCGGGAGCTTCCTCCCCCCTTTCCTCCCACCTTCTCGGTCACATCCGTCCCTTTCCTCACGGCGTCCTCCAGCAGCACCCGCAGCGCTTCCCGCAGGAACTCCTCGCCCGCCGCCGGCTCCCAGCCGGGATGCTCCAGCGCAGCCATGGAGCCAGCCCCGGCCTCTTCAGCCATGGGTGCTGGACCGTCACCACACACACACACACACACCCCCGTCCCAGCCCCGGGATCACGGCAGCGGGATGCGATGGTGGCGTCCCTGGGGACACGGCCTCGCACAGGGACAAAGTCCAGGGACAGGGAGAAGCGGCTCTTAAAGGCGCATCCAAGGAATTGGGGGGGGGGGGGTGAAAAGGGGGGCCCCCCCAAGTGGTGCCACCCTCCGTCCCCATGGCAGGGCGGCCATAGGCCCTGTCCCAAGTGCCCCCAGTGTCCCCAAGGGGGAGCCCTGCTGCCACAGGGAGGGGCAGTAATAAGGGAGGGGGCAGAGGAAGAAGCGACCGACCCCCCGCCGGGGTGCAATGGAGTGGGGGTCTCCATGGGGGGGGTCACAGGGGTGTGGCACACCCCCAAGGGCAGGCGGGGCCTACTTCGGGGTGCGGGGCCGCCAATAGCGGCGGGGCAGCTCACCCCAGGGGCAATAACGTGAATGGGGCGGCCCAGGGGTGACGGGGCGGGCGACAGGGCCCAGCCCGGGCCCCAGCGCCACCGCCCGGCCTCGCTCCGTTGCTGCAGCCCCAGGCTCTGCCCCGCAGCCGAATCGGCCCAGGCCGCGCCGCCGCTCCGTCGCTATGGCAACCTCCCGGCGCCAAGATGGCGCCGCAGCGAGCGGCACCACGGCGCGACTCCGCGCATGCGTACGTCGCGCCGGAAGCGCTGTGAATGGCGGGTGGAAGGAGGAGGGGGGTGTCGTTTCCAGTTCCGGGTCGGCGGCGGCGGCCGAGGACGGGGGGGGCGGCGGGGCCGGTTCTGGACCCGTCGCGGCGGCGGAGCGGAGCGGAGCGGGGCCGGAGCGGGGAGGAGCTGGGCAGGAGAGGCCGCGGCAGGTACGGACCGAGCCCCTCCCCCCCCGCCCGCCCGCGGCCTAGGTGGGGGTTGCGGGGCCCTCCCGCGCGCGCCGCCGTCGCCGCGGCCCCGCCCCCACCCGGCGGCAACGGGACGGGAGGGGGAGGGATGTGGGGGGAGGGGGATGGGGGAGGGTGTCACCTTTGCCCCCGGTGTGACCCCTCCCCCCTTTGTGGCCCCCCCATGTGTGATTCTTCCTCTTCCTCCCCCCCCATAGTGACCCTTCACCTCCCCCATCACCCAAACTCTCCCTGTGGGGCACCCACTTAGTGCTCAGCACCCCCACAGACTGCACCATTTAAACTTGGGGGTCCCCCCCCATAAGCCCCCAAAGCCCCTTCAAACCCCCCCATACTGCCCCTATAACCTCCCCTAATGCCCCAAACACCCATAACCCCCCACAATCCTCCTTAATCACCCCATAGCCACCCGTAACCCCTCAAAGCCCTCCGTAACCCCCCTATAACCTCCCATAACTCCTGTAGCCCCCCAAGCCTCCCTCTAACCCCCACACCCTTCCCCATAACCCTCGTATAGCCACCATAACCCTCCAAGCCCCAACTCTATAACCCCCCAACCCCCCTTTTAATAACTCAGAACTCCCCCAGCCCCCCATAAACTCCCCAATCCTTCCTTTAACCCTCCCCCAAACCCCTCCCTAAGCCCTCCCTAGCCCCCAAACCCTTCCCAACCCCCCGTAGCCCCCCAAAAACCTTTCTTAACCCCCCCACAACTCCCCTATAACCTCCACTCTAACTCTCCCCATAACCTCTCTATAACCCCCATAAACTGATGTAGCACCCTGAGCCTCCCTCTAAGATCTACACAGTCACCCATAACCCCACAACCCCATTATAGCCCCCCATAACCCTCCTATAGCCCCATAACCCTCCAAGCTCCCACTCTATAACCCCCCAACCCCCCCTTTTAATAACTCAGAACTCTCCCAGCCCCCCATAAACTCCCCAACCCTTCCTTTAACCCCCCCAAACCCCCTCCCTAAACCCTCCCTAGCCCCCCAAACCCTTCCCAGCCCCCTATACCCCCCAAATACCTTCCTTAACCCCTCCCCACAACTCCCCTATAACCCCCACTCTAAGCCCCCCATAACCTCCCTATGCCCCCCCTCCCAATACCCCCCTAACCCCATTTCCTCCCTCCCCACAGGCGAAGACCCGCACTGGTGTCAGCAGCAGCAGCGCTGGGACCCAGCTCCCACCCCGGCCTTGCGTGTGTGTGGGGTGATGCCCTTGAGGGCTGTGGGGGTGACAACACCCCCGATGTCCCCTCCTGTCTAGTAGGAAGCTGCTGCCCCCCAACCCCCCGTGATTGCTGCTGGGGGGGGCCGAGGAAGACGCTCGTCACCGCGCCGGCGGCACCGGGGCCGAGATGTCGGCGCAGTGGCGGGTACTGGATGAGCCCGGCACAAACATCCCTAAAACACCTTAACTGAGGCCACCCCTCGGAGGGTTAAAAAGGTCCTTCCCGGGGCCACCGTAAGGCTAAAGAATTGTCACAGTCCCTCTGTCGAGGACAGACAGACAGACACACAGCCCCAAGATGGCTCAGGTAATGAGCCCCAAATCTACACACCCCCCCCTCCCAAAACCCACCCACCCCCTTCCCAATCCGTCCCCTCCACACCAAGCTCCCAAGGAGGTATGGCCATGGGGGGGCTTCCCCCCCCCCCCCCCCGACTCCCCTACAGTCCCCACTGTCCCACAGCCCCGCGCCATCATCATCATCATCACCCATCACTCACCCGCGCCCCCCTACCCCGGGTTCTATTCCCGGAGCCGGCGGCGCTCTCCCGTTGTTCCAGGGATCGTCGGAGCTCTCCCGGTAGCCGTTAGCTCCCCGCCAAAGGGGGGTGTGGGGTGGGGGGGGGCAGGGGGGGGCCCCGAGCCTCCCTCTTCTCCCCCCTTATCCCCCCCCCCCTTCCCATTTCAGCGCCCGGTCGTGTGCGGCCCCCCGGCAAAGGGTTTGGTTTGTGGTGCTGGGACCTTTGGGGTGGGGGGTTTGGGGGTGCTGGGGGGAGGGTCTGGGGGGGTCTTCAGCAGAGCTGCTCTCTCCCCCCCCCCCCAACCCAGGCGAGCCTCCTGGCCTGCGAGGGCCTGTCCGGAGTGTGCCTCGTGCCCACCGTGGCCAGCAAGAAGATGATGCCGAAGCCCAGCTCCAAGCAAGGGGAGAGCAGGGAGCGGGGGGGGAGCCCCGATGTGCTGGTATGGACGCCCCCCCCCGCTGCCTTCAGCCTCTGACCTGCCTTCTTCCTCCCTTAACCTCCTTTCTCCCCCCCTCAAGCCACTTTCTTCCTCCCTCAACCCTTCTTCCTCACCGATCATGCCTTTTCCCCCCTTTCATTCCCCTTTGCCCCCACACATTCCACTTTCCCCACCTTTCATTCACCTTTCCCCACCTTTCATTCATCTTTTCCCCCCTTTCATTCCACTTTCCCCCTTTCATTCCCCTTTTCTCCCCTTTCATTCCCCTTTTCCCCCCCACATTCCACTTTCCCCATCTTTCATTCACCTTTCCCCACCTTTCATTCACCTTTTCCCCCCTTTCATTCCACTTTTCCCCCTTTCATTCCCCTTTTCCCCCTTTCATTCCCCTTTTCCCCCTTTCATTCCCCTTTTCCTCTTTTCATTCCCCTTTTTCCCCTTTCATTCCCCTTTTTCCCCTTTCCCCTTTTCATTCCTCTTTTCCCCTTTTCATTCCCCTTTCCCCACCTTCCATTCACCTTTCCCCACCTTTCATTCACCTTTTCCCCCCTTTCATTCCACTTTTCCCTCTTTCATTCCTCTTTTCCCCCTTTCATTCCCCTTTTCCCCCTTTCATTCCCCTTTTCCCCCTTTCATTCCCCTTTTCCCCCTTTCATTCCCTTTTTTCCCTTTTCCCCTTTTCATTCCCCTTTTCCCCCTTTCACCGTTTCCCCCTTTCATTCACCTTTTCCCCCTTTCATTCACTTTTTCCCCCTTTCATTCACTTGTCCCCCCTTTCATTCACCTTTTTCCCTCCCTTAATTCACTTTCCCCCCTTCCACTCCCTTTTTCCTCCTCTGAGTCGATTTCCCCCCCGTTTAATGCGATGTCCCCCATATTCCCCCCCATCCGGTGCCGTTCCCATTCCAGGCGCTGCGGCAGGACCCGGACAAGCCACGCAGTCGGAAGGACGAGGACGCACCCGAGACCACGCACATCAAGAAGTCCAGTAAAAAGGCAGGTCGGGGCTTGGGGGGGCACTTTGGGGTCTGGTCCTACTTTAGTCCCTGAGGTGTGGGGAGTCACTGGGGGCTCTGGGGGGTGTCACTTTGGGTCTGTGGGGTGTCCCTGTGACCGGGGAGGGGGGTACTTTGGGGGTATCCTTACGCCCAGGGATGTCACTTTGGGGTTTGGCCTCTGTGGCATCACTTTGAGACCCGGGGGGGGTCACTTTGGGCTGTCCCTATGTCCCGGGGGGAGTCACTCTGGGGGTATCCTTATGTCCAGGGATGTCACTTTGGGGTTTGGTCTCTGTGGCATCACTTTGGGATCCAGAGGGGCATCACTTTGGGGGTATCCTTATGTCCAGGGATGTCACTTTGGGGTTTGGCCTCAGTGGCATCACTTTGGGACCCGGGGGGGGTCACTTTGGGGTGTCCCTGGGCCCGGGGGGGGTCACTTTGGGGGTATCCTTATGCCCAGGGATGTCACTTTGGGGTTTGGCCTCAGTGGCATCACTTTGGGATCCAGAGGGGCATCACTTTGGGGGTATCCTTATGTCCAGGGATGTCACTTTGGGGTTTGGCCTCAGTGGCATCACTTTGGGACCCGGGGGGGGTCACTTTGGGGTGTCCCTGGGCCCGGGGGGGGCGTCACTTTGGGGGTATCCTTATGCCCAGGGATGTCACTTTGGGGTTTGGCCTCAGTGGCATCACTTTGGGACCCGGGGGGCAGTCACTTTGTGGTGTCCCTGTGCCCGGGGAGGTGGTGGTGGGGGGGTCACTTTGAGGGCCGGGGGGGTGTAACTGTGGGTGCCCCGCAGCGCCGCAAGCGTGTGTCCGGCACCGAGGGACCCGGCAGCGCGCCGCGGAGAGGACCGCGCCTCGGCAGCCAGGTTTGCGGCCGCGCAGCACGAGAGCAGCAGGAGCAGGAGGAGGAGGAAGGATTCCCGAGCTCCGGCAGGCGCAGGACGGCCGGGGGGGGAGGTTCTGGGTTGGGGGGGGGGCAGCGGTTGCCCCCCCTCCTTGTGTGCTGACATGAGCTTTGGTGGGGGGGGGGTTATGCTCTGCCCATAGGTGCTGGTCATGGAGCAGAACGGTCCCTTCCAGGCGCAGAGCCCCAAGAACTTCATCTGTGAGCACTGCCTGGGCGCCTTCCGCAGCAGCTACCACCTCAAGAGGCACATCCTCATCCACACTGGTATGGGGGACCCCCCCCTGCACCCCAATAGTGCACAGAGGGGGGGGTTACACCCTTAATTTGGGGGTGCCCCCCCTCTTTTTGATTGCAGGGGAGAAGCCCTTTGAGTGCGACGTGTGCGACATGCGCTTCATCCAGAAGTACCACTTGGAGCGGCACAAGCGCGTGCACAGCGGGGAGAAGCCGTACCAGTGCGAGCGCTGCATGCAGGTATCCCGCTGCTCCGGCCGGGATGGGCTGCCCCAGCCCTCGGGAGCGTTCCCTCATGGAATTCCCACCCCTTTCCAGAGCTTCTCCAGGACAGACCGGCTGCTGCGGCACAAGCGCATGTGCCAAGGCTGCCAAACCAAGAGCCCCGACGCGCAGCTCCTGCTTTAAGAGGCCACCGGGAATGCCGACCGGGAATGCCGACGGCAGCTCCAGGGGTGGTTGGTTTTCCTTCCTCCCCCTCCTTCTTCATCATCATCCTCATCCTCTTCCTCCATCTCTCCTGCGTTTCATACCCTGGATGCTCGCCCGGACTCTTGGAGCCAACAGCATTTGGAAAAGGAGCTGGAAAAGCCCATTCCCAATGGGAAGAGCATAGGATGCCACCTGCAGACCTCCCCCCACCCCCTCCCTACACCCCCATTTTATCAGCCCCCCCCTCTCAGGAAAGACTTGGAAGCCCCAAAGCAGCAGAATGGGGGTGTCCCCCCCCTGCCAAGGGCTTCCCTGGCTCAGGTTGGAGCAGGAGCTGATCCCAGCGCCTCCACTTTGGTAGCTTTGGGAGCAGCAAGAGGAATTCTTGGCATTGGAAAAGGGGGGGGGGTCCCCCTATGAGCTTGCCCCCAGCGCCTTCATCTCATGTTTTGGGGCGCTTTTGGGGTGTTTTGGGGGTTTTCTCTTACGGTTTGGGGCTGGTGCCTTCGCTCACTGCTACCCCCAGCTCTGCTGGGTGGGGATGGGGGCCTCTATCGGGGCCATTTGCAGCCTCCCCCCATGCTGGGGTGGACCCCAAGAGCCTTGTTGGGGGGGGCAAGAAGAGGCCATGGAGTGCCCCCTTCACCTCCCAGCCCCATTTTGGGGGTCCCCCACCTCCTGTGCCCCCCCCACCACCCAAAGCACAGCGGCCCTGGACGTGGCCCTGTCAGCTGGGGCAGGGGGGCACCAGTGATGCCACATAGGAACCCCCCCCCAGTGAACCCCCCATTTTGGGACCCTCCTCCGTCGGTTTGGGGTGGGGCCAGGATGGGGGTTGGGGGGGTCAGATCTTGCCTCTGAATAGGAAAAGGGGGGGGGATGATGGTGAGGAACCCCCCCCCCACACCTATGGGGACGGGGGGGGCACAGGCCCCCCTGCCCCCGCCCTCCCCCGGGGTTTGATTTTGGGGTGGTTTTGTTGGGTTTTGGGGTTTCTTACACTTGTTTTGTTATTGGGGGGGGCGCTGTAGTTTTTATTACACTGTCCCCAGCTCGTGTGTCCCCCCCCTCGTGTTCCCCTCGCCCCCCCTTCGGTCCCTGTGTCCTGCCCCTCCCCCACCCCCCCCCGCCCCCTCCCCCCCGGCCTTTAGGGTTTATTTAAATAAAAACTCGTCGGGTTTTTTTCTCTTTTTTCTAATTCACGGCTCCATTGGTTCATTGGGGGGGAGGGGGAGGGGGGCACCCTCACCCCCACCCATGGGTGCTTATGGGGGAACCCTCACCCCCCCCCCCATGCACCCATAGGGACCCATGGACCCCCCCACAGCACCACCCATAAAGGTCTATGGGCCCTTTCCCATCAACCCATAGAGGCTCATGGACCTCCCCATCCTATAGGTGACCATGGGTGCCAAGACCCCCACCCAGCACCCATTTACCCCCCCGCGGGGCTGTAGCCCCCATGAAGGGGGTGATGAGGACATGGAGCCATGGGGGGGTGGTTTATTGAGGAGCTTCAGCACAAGAAGGGGGGGTCCCTGTAGTTGTGGGGTCCCCCGGTGATTGGGGGGGTCCCTGATATTGGGGGTGCCCAAGGATGTGGGGGGGTTCCTGGAGGGATCTCTGCTGTCCCCTCACTCCGGCTGGTTGCTGATGGTGTCGCTTTAGGGGCTCCTGTAGGGAGGGCATGGCAGGGGGGGTGTCACAGCCGGTATTCCCGATGGCATTCCCGACACTATTCCCACCCCAGATAGGGGCTAGGGACCCCCCCCCAATCACCCATAGGGGCCCATGGGGGCAAGGACCCCCCCCCATAACTCCCCTATGGGATCCCATGGGTGCCAGCGCCCTCCCAGGGAGTGGGTCCCTTCCAGGGGCAATTTGGGGGGGGCACACACCATGGTCAGTCCCATAGACCCCCATATCCCATCCTATAGAGCCCCCCATCCCATCCTGTAGAACACCCCCCATCTCATCCTATAGAACACTCTCCATCCCATCCTATAGAACACTCTCCATCCCATCCTATAGAACACCCCCCATCCCATCCTATAGACCCCCCATCCCACCCTTCAGACCCCCCCCATCCCACCCTATTGACCCCCCATCCCACCCTGCAGACCCCCCCATCCCATCCTATATAACACCCCCCATCCCATCCTATAGACCTCCCATCCCACCCTCCAGACCCCCCATCCCACCCTATAGAGCCCCCCCCATCCCACCCTATAGAGCCCCCCCCCCCGGTACCGGCACTCCGGGTTCCCGCCGTGGCGCGGGAGGTCTCGCGCCCGCTGGGGGGCGCCTCGGCACGGGCAGCGCGCGCCCAGCTCCAGCTGCAGCGCCCCCTGGAGGCCCGGCACGCGCAGCGTCACGCGGCTGCGCGGGAGAGGGCACGAGGCGGCGCGAACCCGGACCGTGAACGTCACCTGGGGGGGGGGGGAAACGGACACGACATGGGATATTGCGATATGGGATATCGGGATATGGGGTATCGCGATATAGGACCTCGGGATATGGGGTATTATGATATAGGACATTGGGTTATGGGATATCACGATATGGGACATCAGGACATGGGATATTATGATATGGAACATTGGGATATGGGATAATGGGATATGGGACATCAGGGTATGGGATATCATGGCATGGGATATCGTGATACGAGATATGGAACATGTGGATATGGGGACAAATGGACACATGATCCCCCATATCTGTCCCAGTGCACCCACATCCTCCATTCCTTCCGCATGTCCCCCCGATGTCCCCATGTCCCATATCCCCATGAACCCCAGGCCTCCATATCCCCATGTCCCATATCCCTATAACCCATATCCTCACATCCCCATGTCCCCATATCCCCACATCCCACCATGTACCCATATCTCCATACCCCATACCCTCACATCCCCATGCTCCCAGTTCCCACCTCCCACCATGTCCCCATATCCCTGTACATCCCTATACATCCCTATACATCCCTGTACATGCCCCCCCCTTTTCCCACCTCCTCATTGACTCGAACACCCCTGCAGAGGCCGCCGTGAGGCCGGGGGGGGCTGGGGGCACCCCCGCAGTGGGACTCGAAGCTGAAGCTGATGTTGGGGGGCAGCGGCGAGTGCTTGAGCTCCACGGTGGACGCGAGGGCCTGGGGGGGAGGAAGGGGGGGGACACCGGGGGGTGTCAGCACCCATCCCCCCCCCGCACCCCTGGGTGCCCCCCCCGCCCCCCCCTCACCTCGTAGGCATCCGCCAGGAGCCGCGGGACGTTGCTGGAGTCGCCGCGGAGCTCCCGCACCACGGCCCGGGGCAGCTCCCGGCTGAGCTCCTGCGGGCACGGCTCGGACCCGGGCACGCACAACGGGACCCAACATCACCCCCCCCACACACCGGTACCCAAAACACAGCCCCGGGTGCCCCAAACACCCTGAAACACCCCAAAACCAGCGTCGAGGACCCCCAAACACCTCAAAACACACAGAGACACCCAAAAACTGCCCTGGAGCACCCAAAACCAGCTTCTGTGGTACCCAAAACACTCAGAGACACCCAAAACACCCTGGGACCCCCAAAGCAGCCCCATGGATACCCCAGAAGAGCTCAATAACAGCCCCGAGCACCCCAAAACAGCCCCAGGGGCACCCAGAACACCCAGAGACACCCAAAACCAGCACTAGGACACCCAAAAACAGCCCCGGGGCACCCAAAACAGACCCGGGGTACTTGAAACACAGCCCCCGGTACCCCAAAACACCCAGAGACACCCAAAAACCACCCCCATACACCCCAAACCAGCCCCATACACCCCCAACCAGCCGCATGGACACCCTAAACCAGCTCTATGGACACCCCAAACCAGTGCCATACACTCCAAAGCAGCCCCATACACCCCAAACCAGCCCCATGGGCACCCCAAACCATCCTCATACACAACAAACCACCCCCATGGACACCCCAAACGAGCCCCATACACCCCAAACCACCCACATGGACACCCCAAACCATCCTCATACACCCAAACCACCCCCATGGACACCCCAAACGAGCCCCATACACCCTGAACCACCCCCATGGACACCCCAAACGAGCCTCATACATCCCAAACCACCCCATGGACACCCCGAACCACCCCCATGGACATCTCAAACCACCCTCATACACCCCAAACCACCCATGGACCCCAAACCACCCCCATGGACATCCCAAACCATCCTCATACACCCCAAACCACCCCCATGGACACCCCAAAACACCCCCCAACCCCTCCCTTCCCCCTTCCCCCCCCCCATCCCCATCCCCATCCCAACCTCATAGAGCGGCACCACGGGCCGGGTGACAGCGAAGATGAGCTGGATATCGGCTGCCTCCAGCACCTGAGCCAGGAGCCCCACAGAGGGGTAGTCCTGGGGGGGGGCGGGGGCTGAGTGTGAATGGAGGGGGCGGGGCTGGGTTAGCTCCTCCCCCTCCCTCCAGGCCCCTCCCCCTCCTGCACCCACGTGGCGGTGCTGGGCCGCGTAGTGGCCGTGGGTGTCGAGGTGGCAGCGGGCGTCGCTGGGGCGGGCGATGCCCCCGAGCTTCCCGTCCCCCGCCGAGTGCCAGGCGTCGTCGGAGCAGAAGAGCAGGAGCCGCGTGGCTGAGCCCCAGCCCAGGCGGTCCTGAGGGGATGGGGGGATAGGGAGGGGGAATGGGGGGAAGGGGGGCATGGGGGGTATGGGGGTATGGAGGCATGAAGAGTATTGGGGGCATGAGGGGTATGGGGACATGAAGGGTATGGGGCATGAGGGGTATGGGGGGCATGAGGGGTATGGGGGCATGAAGGGTATGGGGGCATGAGGGTTATGGGGAGCATGAGGGGTATAAGGGGCATGAGGGGTATGGGGGCATGAAGGGTATGGGGGCATGAGGGTTATGGGGAACATGAGGGGTATGGGGTGTATGGAGACATGAGAGCTATGGGGGGATGAGGGTTATGGGGTGCATGAGGGGTA